TGAATTCATCGGAGTACAGTCCTTCATAGTACTGTGTAATTACCCTTTTGATTTCATTAGCGTCTGTTGTAATGCTCCCTGTTTCATCCCTTATCCTTGCTATTGAAATTTGTTCCTTCCTTCCTTTAGTTAGGTTTCCCAGTGGTCGATTCTGTTTGGCCTTTCAAAGAACCAACTTTTAGCAGCATTAATTTTTCCCATAGTTTTCTTTTTTTCCCTCTCCCAAATCTCAGCCCGGAATTTTATTATTTCTTTTCTTTTGCTATTAGTAGGATTGTTCTGTTGACTCTACTCTAGTTACTATAAATTTTGTGCCAGCATATTAATCATAAGTCTCTCTTCCTTTTTCATGTGTGCATGTATTGCAATAAAACTTCCTCTGATAACTGCCTTTGCTGTGTCCCATACGTTTTAGTATGCCATGTTCTAATTCTTGTTGGTTTCCAGAAATTTCCTAATTTCAACTCTGATCTGGGCCAGTACACACTCCTTTTGCAATAGAGAGTTATTCATCCTCTAACTGTTTGCCCTGTTTTCTTCATCTTCCTTTTGTTGATTTCCAGCCTTACAGCACAGCGGTCAGAGAGAGAGAGTTCTGTATGATATCAATGTTCTTTAATTTATGCAGATTCGACTATGCCCCAACATGTAGTCTAACTTTGAATATGTGCCATGTGAGATTGAAAACAATGTGATTTTTTTTTTTTTTTTTTGGTATTTGAGTGAAGAGCTCTGTAAATATCTATCAGGTCAAATTGTCTAATTGTAATGTTTAGATCTCTAGCCTCTTTACTCAGTTTCTTTCCCTGTGGTCTATCTTTCTCAGAAAGCGGTATATTGAAATCACCTAGTATGATTGTTGAGGCTGTGATTTAGTTTTTCATCTTCTGGAGTGTTTGATTGATGTATTCAGTGGGTCTCTTGTTTGGGGAATATATGTTCATTATGCTTAGTGGTTCTTGGTTTACAGTTCCCTTGAGCATTATATAGTGTCCCACCTTATCTCTTTTTATGGTTTGCACTTTGAGGTCAATTTATCCAAGATTAGGATTGCAATTCCTGGTTTTTTTAAATTGCTGTTTGCTTGGTATGTTTTTCTCCCACCTTTGATTCTCAGCCTATTTTTGTCTGTAATCTTGAGATGGGTCTCCTGTAGGCAGATTTATGGGTTGTGTTTTCTAAGCCAGTCTGCTAGCCTCAGTTTTTTAATGCCTGAATTCAGTTCATTGATATTCAGGGTTATTACATCCATCTGTGGACTCTGTGATGTCATCTTATACCTTTTGTATTGGGTGTTTTCCTACCCTCTCTTTCTTATCAGTGTGTTGTGCATGCATGTGTGTGTTTCATTCTTGACTTCTTTCCACCCTTAAGCCAATGCTATCTTGAGGTCTGTTTTCTCTTTGTTGTCCTCCAGGTGGGGTTGTTCTATGTGGCAATCTTTTATTCGTGCTCAGTGAATGCTGTTCTTCTGCCCATACTGGTTAGGCAAGGATCTTTGGTAGGGCTGGGTTTCTTTTAACATTGAGTTTTCTCATGTCTGGGAAGACTCGTACTTCTCCATCTATCTTGATAGATAATTTGGCTGGATAGAGTATTCTTAGGTTTGCATTATTTTCCTACATATTTTGGGAATTTGTTACGCCACTCTCTCCTCTTCTTCATAATGTGTTCTGATAGGTCTGAGCACATTCTTATTTGGGAATCTTTATTTGTGATTGCCTGTTTTCCCTAGCTGCTCTCATGATTTTCTCCTTTTCCTCAAAGTTGGATAGTTTTATTGACCTTGATGGCTTCTTGTGATTTAGTCCAACTGGCATTCTTTCAGCCTCCTGAATGGTTACCTGGTTTTCATTCATCAAGCTGGGGATGTTTTCCTCCAAGAATTCTCTAACTATTTTTGCAGATGACTTCTTAGTTGTATCTTCCTTCGGTAATCCAATTATTCTGATGGTGTTCCTCTTTATAGCATCAGACATAGCTCTTAGGTTTTCTTCAGCTTCTCTGATGAGCTCATTAGACTTTTGTTCATGTTTGTTAAAGTCTGCTTGGCTGTCCTCTAGGTCACTGGTATGGTTCTCTGCCTCCTCTGGTCAGTTGGCAAAATCTGTGAGTCTGCTACTGGTTTTTGTTATCTCATCACTAAGTGCTTGTATTTCCATTTAGTGTATGGTCTTTATCTCCTCTATTATTTCATCCTTTTTCTATTTTTCTTGCCTCATATCCTGTATGACTCCAAGGAGCATTCTGAAATTTTCTTTCTGTAGCAGATCAATGTCTGCTTCTTCTATGCACATCATTAGGTTCTGGACATCTTCTGTCATTGGCTTTTGTTTCTCCTGTTTGTTTCGTTGAGGTAGTTGGGGCTGGTTGCTGTTTGTGTTGTGTTGTTTTAGAGGAGTCTGGTACCATTTTCCAGAGAGTCAAAGAGCACTGGGTTCTCTCTGGGAGACTCGTAGGAATGCTTCTTTGAACTGTTTGCAGCTAATTTCACTATGGAATTGGCCTACCACTTTATCCTCCTGTGTATTCACTCTTTCTCTAGTCAACCAGTGTTCTGTTATTTGGAGGCAAGTTGGATGGTCTGGTTAGCGAACACTGGTTGGGTGGCTGTGGACCCGTGAGGATGGTGCTTCACTGGATGATCTCACAAGAAACCATGATGGTCTGGCCCATGGAAACTTGTGGCACTGCAGAGGGCATGCAGGGGTGCCTGTTGCAATGGGAGTGCCACAGAAGGCAGGTGGGTGTGCCTGCTTTGGTGTAGAGCCCTTTGGATGGTGGGTGGAATTTCCCTGGTCAGCTAGATCACCGTGGAGGTTGAACAGTTTCCCGCAGCAGAGTGGAGCACTGGAGAGTGTTGGCCGAGATGCCTTAGGCCATGTGAGGCACTATGACAGGCAGGAGGAAGTTCCCTCAGTAACGTGGACCACAGAAAATGAGTAGGAGCTCCCCTAGCCACACAGGTGGGACTTCCCCCAGATGAAGGTGCATGGGATTTCCCCAGCCACATGTGAAGCACTGCATAGGTGGTTGGGTGAAATTTCCTTGAGAAGAAAGTGGGCAGGATTTCCCCTGGTGGAAGAGGGGTGTGCTTCCCTTAGCTTTAGATTACACTGCAGAGGGTGGAGCTCCCTCAGCTGGGTGTAGGGGAGACAGAAATGCCCTAGGCTAAGAGTTGTGGCCTGGAGGTCAGCAGTGGCTTGTGAGAAAAGTGAAGAGAAAAAGAAAAAAAAAACAGCTTGCTGAGACTGGGGGGTGGGGGGGGAGGGGGGAGAAAGAAGAGAGGGGAAAAAATAACAATTGAGCTGAGCCCCAATCACTGACTGTGGGGTTAGAGGGGTTTAAACTCTGTCCTGAGGTAGCAATAAGGTGTGGCTCTGTTGAGATAAAGCCCTTGGGCTGGCTCAAATGGATCCCGGCTCCAGCAAGACAGTGGTGGGGCTAAGGTTAAACCCTAGCTGGCCTCCACTGTGGTAAGCCCAAGACCCCAGCTCCTTAAAACCTGGTGAATCAGTGCCTACTTATCTTTATGATGCTCCTCCTGTGACCTGGTAGTGTGGAATTTTCCTCTTAGTGACTCTCCTGGGCTGATTTCTGCAGAGTCCCTCTGGTATGTGTTACTCAGATGCCATCTTGCCGGAAGTACAAACCTATGCATCTTCACGGGATCAGACAGTCTCATCTTTTTCCCTTGCGGAGAGGCTGGTGTTTGTTTTCCCTAGTCCATGATCTCTTTTTAAGTTTCAGTTATTTAGTATATGTATTATATCCACTTTTCCTTTTTAGTGAACATTTTATTATGAACTAGGTGGAGAACTCTGGGGGTTTGAACTGCCAATCTTATGATTTACAGTTCCAAGGGTCACCTGACAAAGGCACCATGCTCCATAGAAATATCTAGTATACATATGTTTGAAAATTCTTAATATGAACTTACTCATTAGATGCCCCTCAAATGTAAATATTTAATTTGCTTTATCCATTATAATAAAAAGGTTTTAATTCAAATGAAAGTGTCCTCAATGGATGCTTTTACAGATTGTGATAAGAGCTGTATGAGCCTCCAATATAATTATTTTTAAAAAAGAATAAGAAAGTGTCCTATGCAGATACAGAAATATGGCCAAATGAGTCCCGATGATCTCATATAATGCAGAGCATCACATCAATTTTTGGGTTGGTGCTATTTATCCCTGCATGAGATTAGCAATATAAGGGTAAAGAGAAACTTTCTAATATCTTCTTAGTTAAGACTTTTAAAGATGGCATTATTATTTTACTTGATATATTACTTAATTCTCAGATCATGAAGACATCATATATAAATATTAAAAGACAAATATAAATATTGTTAAAACCAGATGGAAAACAACACAGGTAGGTAAGATAAATTGTAGAAGGGACTGAGTGATATATCTGCTATATTGACCAACCTCTGGTATGAAGAGTCAAAACAACAAAAATCACACTCACTACCATTGAGTTGATTCTAACTCAAAGTGACCCTATGAAAAGTCAGTCAGTGTTAACTACCAGGGCATGAGTGGGGCTTCTGAACTTCAATGCTACACGGAAGAAGAGATCCAAAACCAAAACAGCAGGTTCTTTTCTGAAATACTTTATTATAGCTCTTGTGTCCAATCAGCTGTAACTGGTATTTCCTCATACTTACTTAGTTTCTATGTTGATGGATGAAGCCCTTATTTTAGCTTTATTTCTTTTTTCTACTCATTTAAACACAATTTTGTCTACCTAGTCTCTATTCTTCTTCCCTGCCCATCTTCTTGGACTTCCTGAATGATGGATTCCTAATGGTATTCAAGAAAAGTCACCTTGCTCTCCCATCCATCGTACTCCTTGGCATCAACTGTCAGAGGCTATCAGTCTAACTCAGAATGGGTTATATTCTCACATTCCACTATCTCTGTTTCTTTCATGGTATCCCCTCTGGCTATTATTATCATCTTGTCATTTATGCCGTTGTGTTTTTTTCTTAGAGTGCTGTGGGCCATGAGTATGTTGCTGAGGTGGGGAAGCACTCTTCTCAAACGGATGCTGCCAAAGGTTTTGGGGGCAAATATGGAGTTGAGAGAGACAGGGCAGACAAGGTAAGTGGCAGCTCTTTCCCTAAGTCATTCACCTCAAATTACACTGGCCAGACCAGCACTCTCCCTGGTATGTGGGCCTGTGATTCTGCACTCTTCCTTTGTATTTGGGTCTGTACTTCTCTGGTGGAAGAATAAGGCAGAGGATGCCAGCTCCCTTGACATCCCTCAGCAGAGCACTAAAATCCCCCAGGGCTCCTCTGAGTCATTGGGAAGTTCTTCTGTTGGCCACATACTGGGCTCAAAGGCACTCATTTAAAGGAGACAAAGACTCTCAAACTCTTTCAATAAGATGCCAAAACCAAATTCATTGCCCTGAAGTCAACTCCTACTCACAGAAACCCTACAGGACAAGGTAGAACTGCTCCTGTCAGTTTCAGAGATATTTCCCCCATGGAGTGGCTGGTGGTTTCAAACTGCTGATCCTCAGGTTAGTGGCCCAACTCATAACCACTACTCCACCAGGCATAAGGGATCCCTTATGTTATAAGTTGTTATTATACTTGTCTGCTGAAGAGAGAAGAGGAACACTTCTTTGGGCCCAATATAGAAACCTGATCAATATTGTGCCTTTTAGGTAAACAGAGGTATCTGTTTAAATATTTTTACCGATGTACAAATAATCTAGTAAAACAACTAATTAAGGTTATAGAAGGTAGTTACTTCTCATGGAATTTGACATTAATCTCTAATGTGGGTCTTTTAAAATATTTCTTTCTACACAAACATAAAATATTTGTTTGTTTTTCATAAAACAGTTTTAAAGATGGATTAAAAGGACAGTTTGCTTACAGGATATCATGCACCAAAAAGTAAGGCTGACACTTACAGAGGTCCTCAGCTTTAGACTTCATTGAACTAATTTTAGTTCAATGAATAATATTTCTTCCTTGCAGCTCCTTGAGAAAAAAGGACCTTTTTTTCTTACAACAATCTGATTTTTTTTTAAACCAGCTGTGGGCTAAGTGCTAGAAAGTTATTTGTTTTCATTGTAGACCAATACATAAATAAAAATAAGGAACAGAAAAATTAAGAACACACTATATAGGCAGTTCGTAGGTTAGAAACCCTTGACAGACAGCTCCTACTTAGTCTCTAACAACAATAGCAAAAACCCAAATAACCAAACTTGCCCCCATCCAGTGGATTCTGACTTCTAGCAACCTTGTAGGAAAAGGTAGAACTGGCCCTGTGGGATTCAGAGATGGTGACTCTTTACAGTCACTTAGGAGCAGGTGTTTTGTAATTGTCTGTATAGAGCAAAGGAAAGGGGCAGCAGGTCATTGTTAAAAGCAGTGTACTCAGCAGCTCAAAGCCACCAGCAGTTCAGTTTGAGAAAAGACCTGGTGAGGAGCTTCCTTAAAGATTCTGAAGCAGTTCTACTATGTCCTACAGGACGGCTGTGGCCAGATACAAACTCAAGAACACACAACAAGCCTGTAAATCGGGTTGGAATTTCCTGTTTAATCGCAGGCCCTCCTGTCCGATACCTCATTGTCACATCGACTGTCTCAGGAGCCACAGACTGAATCACCTAGACAATGTGTGATTATCATTTTAGCCTTGTAAATCAATACGTAGCCATTAGTTTTTCAGATGCAAAGCCTAGACTTGCTTCCAGACCCACAGTTCCTGAGCCAGGTGGGGAATACAGCTGCATGGCTCTTGGTGGAATGGTAAGCAAGGAATGTCTGCATCCTGGCTGACCCCAGGACTGAATATGCCTGATACTGACAACATCATTTAGCTCTGGAGATGAGCTGGGAGTGGAAAGAAACTGGTGGCTCTGTCTCTAACCAATTCTCTCTCCTTTTCTCTGTAGTCAGCGGTTGGCTTTGATTACAAAGGAGAAGTGGAGAAGCACACATCTCAGAAAGGCAAGAATCCTGCCCTTCAGCCCTAGCAACTCCACTGACCTGCTATTGCACTCAGACTCATTGTCCAGGCGCTGTCACCAGCTCCCATTAGTTCCAAGACCCACCACTCTATTGCCTTTTTAATCAAAGCCTGTCGTAGGCTTCAAAAAGTTCATGGAGATTTCCCATTATTTTTTCATTCCATTTTTCCCTGGATTTTCCTCTTCACCCTTGCTACTTGTATTTCCTCCTGAAATTGCTTTTCCTACCACTGACCATGTTTTGTAGTCTCTCATTTTCCCAGGTTGTTGCTAGATCCCATCGCTTCTGACTCATAGTGACCCTTTGTACAACAGAATGGAACACCACCGGGCCCTGCACCATTCTTACAACTGTTGTCATGGTGGAGCCAATTGTTGGGGGAGCGATATCAATTTATCTCCTTTAGGGTCTTCTTTTTCATTGCCCCTCACTTTACCCAGCATGATGTCCTTCTCCAGGGACTGGCTTCTCCAGGTAACCTGTGCAAAGTATATGAGACCAAGGCTTACTATTGTTGCCTTTAAAGAGCATTCTGTCTGCACTACCTCCAAAACAGATCTTTTCGTTCTTTTGGCAGTCCATGGTACCTGTAATCAATCCATCATTTCTTCTTTGATCTTCCTTATTCAATGTCTAGCTTTCACATGCTTATGAGGTGATTGAAAATACCATAGTTTGTGTCAGGTGCACGTTAACCCTCAAAGTAATATCCTTGCTTATCAGTACTTTAAAGACGTCCTGTATAGCAGATTTACCCAATGCAATGAGTTATTCGATCCTTTGACTTCTGCTTCAGAGCATTGATTGTGAATTGGCCCAGATATGAGGATTTTGGTTTTCTTTCCATTGAGTTGTAATCCATGCTGAAGGCTGCAGTCCTTCATCTTCATCAGCAAGTACTTCAAGTCCTCCTCACTTTCAGCAAGCATATGTGTCATATGCTTATAGCAGGTTGTTAATTAGCTTTCCTCAATTCTGATGCCTCACTCTTCTCCATAAAACCAAGCTTCTCATTTGCTCAGCCTACAGATCAACATTTTCCTCTAATAGATTAAAAACCATGCATTCTTCTTTATTTTGAGAGACTATCCTTATGTTTCAATATGCATCTTTGACTTAAATTTTAAATCACTATCTTCTTCTTGAGTAATAAAGGAAATTATATTTTCACAGCAATATTTATAGCAATCATATCAGAACCAGCTTTGGTTCTACCTTGTCTTGAAGCCCCACAAAAAGCAATCATTATTACTTAGTGAATGTTTATTTAAATTGACCAACATTTCGGCATTTGTAGTAATTTTCTGGGTCATTATTGTTTACTTCTAGGATTAATTTTCTTCTTGATAAAGTACACCCTTTGGTATTTTTTTTTCAGTCAGAAAAATGTCTTTGTTTTGCCCTATGTTAGTCCGGTAGACTAGAGAAACAAATTCATAGACACTCATATGTGTGTAAGAAAGAACTTCATATAAAGAGTAATTGTACATTAAGAAAACATCCTAGCCCAGTCCAGGTACAGTCCATAAGTCTGATATTAGCCCATAGGTCTCATACCAATCTATAAAGGCCTCTTCAGACTCACAAAACACATGCAATAACACCGAATGAGTGGGAAATCTGGATCCAGAGACGTTGTAAGCATCTCAGCGCTGGCAGGGGTCACCACATGGCTTCTCAAGCTCAGGACAGTAGTGTAGCTCCACGTATCTTGTCAGCTACAATGTCTCCTAGGAAGTGAGCAGAGAAAGAGTGTCTCCCATCTCCAGGGAGGAATACAGGAGTTCCCAGAATCCTCAGGAGAAAGCCATGCCCACACAGAAGCCTCAGTGGCTATGACCTGATTGACAGGCTAGACCACTCCTTCACTCAATCCTATCAACTTGACAACAGATTATATAACTACCACAGCCCCATTCTTATGGTTATTTTCACTCCAGCACTTTGAAAATATTTCAGTTTCTTTGGCATCTCCTTATGTCAGTCTAATCATCATACCCTTGTGAATAATATGTATTCTTTCTCTTTGTCTCATTTTGCAATAACATCCAGATGTATCTAGGTGTTAGATCTATTTTTATAATCCTACGTGACACCGTTTCTCTTCAACCGGAGACAAGGCATTTAAAAACTGTAAAATAGTCTTATGAATTTTCTCTTTGAATCATGCCTGTCTAGTCTTTTTCGTGCCTTCTCCTGGAACTCCTATTAGATGTGTATTAGATCCTTTCATCCTCACCTTCCTATCTGCCCTTTTGCTTCAGTATTCAAATCTTTCTTTCCTTAGCATCTGTGCTGCATTTTGAATAATTCTCTTAGCTCTATATTATGTATTCTCTCAACTATTTTAAATGATTGTTTAACAGTCCATTCAATTTTAGACTTTCATGTCTGTTAGCTTGTTTTTTAACCCCAAGTCTGCTGATTCTTTTTAACTTACAGTCTTATGATGTATTTAAAAAATGTCTTTAAGCACTTTCATGATTTTAAACATATTTATTCTATAGCTTCTGTCATATTATTATATTACTAACAATTTTTAACTCATTTCATTGGGTGCTTTTACAGCTCTTATAACATTCCATATATCATTTGTATCAAGCATATTTTTGCATATGTGGCCATCATCATTTTTAGACATTTACTTTCTATTTGAGCCCTTGGCATCAGCTCCTCGTTCACACTCCCTCCCCTGTGATCCCTTGATAAATTATAAATTATTATTATTTTCATATCTTACACCAACTGCTGTCTCCCTTCACCCAAGTTTCTGTTGTTCATTCCCCTGGGGGTGAACAATGGGTATTATGTATGATCATTGCTATCAGTTTCCCCTTCCTCCCCTCCTCATCCCACTTTCTTCCTACCCTTCTGGTATAACTACTTCCAATTCTGTTCCTGAGAGGTTTATCTGACCTGGATTCCGTATGTTGTGAGCTCTTATCTGTACCAGTATACAGAACTGAAAGGCAGGACTGGTTTCATGATAGTGGGGAGTTGAGGAAGCCTCAAAGAAGCAGAGGAATAATGTGTGTTTCATCAGTGTTATACTGCACCCTGGTTGACTCATTCCGTCTTTGTGACCCTGCTGTGAGGGAATGTCCTATTGTCTTCAGAAGGGTTTTGGGTCTCTGCTCCAACCCCCTTTGTTCTCAAAAATATGTTGTTTGGTTGTTATTTTGGGTCTTTTGGTGCCTGTTACTTGATTCTATTGACACCTCGTGATCTCACAGGATAGTGTGCTTCTTCTAAGCTTGTTGCTTCTCTGCTAGATGGCCACTTGTTTAACTTTAAGCCTTTAAGACTCCAGATACTATATCTTTTGATAGCTGGACTCCATCAGCTTTTTTCACCACATTTGCTTATGTACCCATTTTGTCTTCAGTGATCACGTCGGCAGGGTGAGCATCACAGGATGCCAGGTTGTTAGAACAAAGTATTCTTGTGTTGAGGGAAGGTTTGAGCAGAGACCCAAATTCCATCCACTTCTTCAATGTATTGCCATATGACTATGTGTACCTATGCCATATGAATATATGTACGTCTATATTTATGAATTAATATATTTGTTTAAGCACACACTTAGGTTTATACCACTATCCAAAGCTTTGCTTCCTAGATCTTTTCTGTTTCTTTTTTCCCTTCCTCCTGCCTCACCATCACACTTGCTCTTCTTCTGCCTATTAGTAATTCTTCTCATCTAGATTGCTCCTGCTCCAACACCACCAGGATCTCTACGTCCTCGTTGTTGATTTTAATTCCCTAGTTGTTCTCGTCTGTGGTGTTGTTTGCTTGCTCCCCTTCCCCCCTCCTCCTCCTTCCCCCAAGTCCCTCCAGAATCATTGTCCCATTGCTTTCTCCTTGGGCTTGTTTCCCATGCCTATTTTATATAGGTAGGCACAACAACCATAACAGAGACAAAACAAAAAGAAAAAAAAGATTGAATTAAAAGAGTAAAAACAAAAACAAACAAACAAAAAAGCATACATAATTCTAGGTTTGTCTGCTGACCTTTATGTATGTCTATCTCCCCACCAGTCCCGTGGGTTCCTGGAACTGCTCCTCCTAGCCTGAAGTCTATTTTGGAGGCTCCTGGGGGTTTTGTAGCTTGCTTTGCTCCCACTGCTGGTCTGTTATGTTCCTTTCTTGGTTTGCCCCACTGTGGGGGTGGTCAGACCAGACACACTCCCCACCATGTGTGCCAGTATTGTGCTCTATCATGGTATGCTCCAGCCAGGGGACATCGTGTCTCAAGCTGTTGTCAGTCCTACAGTCCTCTCTGTGCCTTAGCAGCTCCATGCAAGGATGTCATCCTCTAGGCTTGATATGCCAGTATGGGGATCTATTCCCTCACTCTCTCTTTTTCCTTCTTGGTTTGCTTCTGTATGGATGTGGCAGGCCAGTCCCTCTCCCCAGCTTGTAGGTTCAGTGTTGTCCTGTGTAGCACATATTTCTAAGGTTGTGGTGGTGATCAGTTTGACTCTGATTGGGGCCAGCCCTGTAGACCTCTATGTTCATGAATTGCTCCATGTGGTTACGTTACCTTCAATGTTGTAGGGTTTGCAACCTGTGGTAGGGTTTGCACTCAAACTCCCATTTCTGTGGAGACATAAATAATACCCTTACCCTGAGTGGATTAGTGCCCTACTCCCCAAGTGCCATCATCTCCCTCATTTTTTTTGATTCTCCCTTTTCTTCACCCACCCGCCTTTCCCCTTCTTTGTGTTGGAATGACATGTACAGCCTTGGGATTGGTCTGTCCCATGCCCAATTGCCTGTACCTCATCCTGTGAAGTGTAAGACAAATGACTTTTCTTCTATATCTACTGTGCTGATTATACTTACCTCTGTGGACTCATGTTGTACTTGTCCTTTTGTGATTGGCTACTTTGCCTAGCATAATTGCCTCTAACTCTTCCCATGAGACAATGTGCTTCATGTGATCATCATTGCTTTTTAGGGATGCATAGTACTCCATG